TGTTGGAGAAGCACCTTACAGTCGACGGTGGTTTTGTCTACGATGGAGGCAGAGTATATGGCAGTTACGGAGGCTGTGAAGGAGGTTATTTGGCTTCGAGGACTTTTGGAAGAACTTGGTATATCGCAGCGGTCCGTCACTACTCATTGTGATAGCATGAGTGCTATCTATTTGGCGAAGAATCAGGTTTTTCATACGCGGACGAAGCACATTGACGTTCGTTATCACTTCGTTCGGGATGTTCTTGAAGATGGCGATGTGGAAATTGTGAAGGTCCATACGAAGGATAATCCAGCGGATATGCTCACTAAGGTAGTTCCGAGCAATAAGTTTGATCATTGTCGAAACTTGTTGCACATTCGTGATTGTTGAGGCCGTTGACGGTCATTTGGATGAACTACGTTCGGCTTGATTCCTTGGGCAAGAGGATACGTAGGCAGTCTTTCAGATGCAGCCGGTTTGGATTAGTTGATGGGGGTGAGATTGTTTGGACTCTCGTTTGAGTTCTCGACTTGTTGTGGATTGAGTTCGTACTGGACACAACAAATGGGATATTTGGATGCTTTGATGTCGGCTCAGTTTTGAGAAACTTCACCGAGGTGGAGAATTGTAAACGTGAGCAACATTTATTAGTGGTGGCCACAAGTACGTGAACAACTTCACGTGTACACACCCATGTCTAGAGGTCGGGCGAAGTGGCCCAAGTGCGGCCCAAATGTGCATACTATATAAATCCTGGGATTTTCTCTTCCTAGGTCCGTGCGAGGAGGTTTTGGCGGCTACACGTGCAATTGTGAGGGTGCAGGAGATTAGTTAGGCGGCTGTAGCAAAGAAGGAACAGAGTCGGCTTTCTTTCTGTTTTGTTTCTTTGTGTTTGAGTAGCCCTTCTTTAGGGTTTTGTGCATCCTTTTGTAGAGAGAGTTTGTGAGGGATTTGAGAGAGTTTATTTGAGGGTTTAGATTGTGAGTGATTGTAAACCCTAGTTGTATTCTCTCCCTCTATTAGTAGATCTCCCCCCTCCTTGTCCCGTGGACGTAGGCAATTTGCCGAACCACGTAAAAATTGGTTGTACTGCTATTTGTGTGATTTGTAATAGCTTTTAAGTTCCCTCGACGCGCAGTCGTAGGGCTGACGAGAGGAAGAGCTAATATCCCACTTTGATGAGATATTAGGCTTCAGATTCTTGTTCCCTTTGAGAAACAAGAATTCTTATTGCGACCTGACTCTCTTGTTGTGCTGTCGAAGTGTTGCCAAAATTTCCGCCGCGCGCAACAGTAACCATCGAACTTCAGGTTCTAAGAGCATAAACAATCAATTAGCGCCACTCTGTAACTTGCCTGTTGTATGTCCGATGTCTCTTTACTTGTCTTATTATGTTTGAACTTCCTGATGAGAATGTTCTGCATGCCACTCAACGAGCTATAGCGAGTACTTAGTTTATAAATAAATCAACGTATATAAATCACCAATTGTAGGATCAGAATTTTCTTTTCTTTGAATTTTGTCATAACATAGACATTTACAATTCATTTACGAGTCTGTTTGAGTCACTTTTCATACATCCCATATAACTCATGTTCAAAGAATTTTACTCATGTCATCCCATGTATGATTGTTTTTACTTAAAAATTTACTTATACCTAGACACTAGGGGTGGCAATTGGATCGGTCAAGTCGGGTGGGATCGATATGTAAGCTTAACCTGAACCCGATCTGTTTAATAAACGGGTCACACTACCCAACCCATTTATTAAAGGGGTTACCCACCTGACCCGAGTAACCCAATTATGACCCGTATATGATTATACTTCCGGTGTTCTAGAAGAGAAATCACGATAGATTGCAACAATAATTTTTTGTACATTAGATATCATCTAAGCATATATTCATATAGTCAGGTTATAGACTATAGTTTAAGGGATTATGTGTAATTTAACAAGAAAAATAAAGTAAAAAAGGACACGTATAAAGCTAGAGCTCATCACCCCTAAGTTTTTCATCAAAAAACCTTGCCAAAAAAATTTTCATGCCCTTTTTTTCTCAAATCCCCAACCTCATCCAAAAATTCACAATTATCATCAATGTTATCGATCGTGAATTGCGTCGCGTAGCGGTGAGGCATCGCTAAGGCTGTTTTCGCCTGTATCAATAAAATAGCGATAAATAGCACATAGTCAAATAGCGATCTAATTTAAATATATTTAAATATTCAAAAAAATAAGAATCGATGCAAGGACAGGGCTTTGTCGAGAGCAGGGCTTTATCGAGGAGATGGAGCAGAGGTAGTTGGAGGATCTAGAGAGGAGAAGAGATGGAGATGGAGCTTGTCGAAGTAACTGCTGTTTGCTGTAGCGTCGAGGAGAGGAGGTGGAGTTTGTTGAGGAGTTGGAGGATTTGGATAGGAGGTGGAGGAATGGTGGAGAAGAGATGGAGATGGAGCTTGTCGAAGTAATTGTTGTTTGTTGTAGCATCGAGGAGAGGAGATGGAGCTTGTTGAGGAGTTGGAGGATTTGGATAGGAGGTGGAGGAATGGTGGAGAAGAGATGGAGATGGAGCTTGTCGAAGTAATTGTTGTTTGTTGTAGCTAGGAGGTGGAGGAATGGTGGAGAAGAGATGGAGATGGAGCTTGTCGAAGTAATTGTTGTTTGTTGTAGCATCGAGGAGAGGAGATGGAGCTCGTTGAGGAGTTGGAGGATTTGGATAGGAGGTGGAGGAATGGTGGAGGAAGGCAGCGGAATTGGAGCTCATCCAACAAGAAAGAAAAAGAGAGGCGGAGGTTCGATTAGGGTTTTTTGAGAAAGAGGTGGAAGCAGTTGAATACATAAGAGAAAGAGAGTGGGTTTTATAAGTTGGATTGGGTTCGGGCGTGATTCGGGTTGGGTTTTTGATAAAAATCAACCATAAAAGAAGGCGCTAATAGTGCTCAAAAGCGCTATTAACAACTTTTGAGTGCTATTTCACACTTTTCTTTGCTATTTCGAACAAATAACAATCTTTGGCGCTTTTTCTCATCGCTATGGTCAAAATTATTGCGGGCAAGGTCCGCTAACGTAATTGTACCGCAATTGCCCGCTATTTACAACACTGGTTATCATCTTCATTAATCAACTCTTTTTATCTATTCAATCAATCCAACATGAAGCATCTCTACAAACAATCCCCCTCCTCTCAATCTAAAACCTCATCATCCCCAAACCCTCAAAACCCCATCTCAATCATTTTTCCGCCGTCGCCGCCGGTCACTCGCTACTCTCTTGGCACTCGCTACGACCGCTCTTTGCTGCCATTTGTTGTAGTTGTTCTACGCCTCAAGCTCCCGTAGCGGTGGATAAAGAACCCTCAAAGATTAGGGCTGAAAAGAGAATTGACACTTACCCAGTCAGATCATATATGGATTAGATGAGTCATAAATGGGTTGACCACTAGCTACCCATTTTAATAAATGGGTAGCTAGGGTTGACCTGTTTATGACCCAAGCCCATTTAACTCGACCCGTCCCCCTTAATAACGGTCAGGTTGGGTCGATTTGATGGGTCGGACTATTTTTTGCCGCCCCTATTAGAAACCACTTAATATGGAAGACCAAATAAAAATAACCTTGAGTAGGGTATTCATCTGGATGTGGTATGTATGCCTCATTGTTTTCTGGTGGCATTACGTTTTTGCATGATAGAGCTACCTGAGACTGCTATCATCATGTTTCCACTACTGAGTAAGTAGGTACCATCACCACAGTCTGACAGTCATCATTGTGGAGCAGAGCGCTTCGAGACTGTAATTGTGTGTCCTCAAGTCCGATTGTTGATCCCAATGACAACATAGATGTTCCTGCCGCATTCAATGGAGCTCAATGATAATGGAGCGAAAAACTTATCTTTGTAGGTCACACTAAGCATAAAGCATATTAGATTAAGTAAAATAGAAAAAAAATCTGTTTGTTTAAGAACATAGAAAGTGATCAATCTAGTATTTAAATTTGAGACCGGCACAGAAAGCTATAAAGGTAACACCATAAGTAAAGAAAAAATCTACAGCTAATCTAATTTTATATTATAATTATTAATTTAACTGGTAAAATTACATCTCAGAAAAAAATCTGTTTATTTAAGAACATAGAGAGCGATCAATCTAGTTATTTAAATTGCGATCGCTTTTTGGGGTTGAGAGAATTACTCCTTGGAGTTGATGATAGAAGAAGTCATGCAAGTCTTTACCTTGCTAATTGCTACATTATCAATTGCTTTTGGGGCATCGAGTAAGAGCAACTAAATATGTGAGACCTTTGAACTACCTCTTCTCCCTGACATGTTAGGAGTGATAAGATGAGTAGCTCAAGAATGGCCTCCTTACTAAAATCCTAGGCTAGTGTTACTGGACCAGAGCTGGTTTGATTCTTGATGGAACCAGATTCCGTTCAGGCTATGCCCTAGTCCAAATCAGGTTTGGACCCAGTCTGAAGTGGTCCTTCAGTGAGATTCGATCCAGCTGGATCAGCGACCAGCATGGTTTCTAGACCTAGTCCAACACTATCATAGAAGCACAGGTACTTGTTAGCAATTGACATATGTTTGTATTTCAAAAATATTGTAACTTGTATGCTCATAAAAAAAAATTGAGCAAAGAATGCACCTGCCCAAGAAAGCTGCACAAGTGAACTTTCTGTAATATTTACATAAGATACTCTAGCAAAGAATGCACCTGCCCAAGAAAGCTGCACAAGTGAACTTTCTGTAATATTTACATAAGATACTCTCTCTTCCTCCTGCAACGTGTCGTCAACTCTCTATATATCTGGTTCGCTAATTCTGTCAGATTTTTGAGCCAACTTTGTGCTTCCTTGTATTGGAATTGCATTTGCACGAATACACTATTTATTTTTAAAAAGTCTGCCTTGTATTGTGTGCATCTTGTGTGTGTTCTTGCTAGCCTAGTATACTCAATTGATTGATGTTTTTATTAGAAACTTCTGCATCAGTATTAAAATTTAGATGTTATGCTAGGAATGAAAGCTTATGAAACAGATGAGAAAGAGTTGATTATGGAACCATCACTGAAATGGGCTGGAAATCCGAATATTATTGTGGTGGTTAAAGCATTTGGATTGAAGGCAACCTTACAGGTTACTAGCTTGTACTATTTTGGTTTAAGAATAACATAGCTTGGATATTTTAGACTAATGCTGCTTCTGAAAAGTTGTTTAAGAAGTTATATTAGTGAACTAATTCGATTCCTTTTGAGATTCACGTAGTAGATTTGCAAGTCTTTGCTATACCGCGAATTACATTGAAGCCTTTGGTTCCTAGTTTTCCTTGTTTTGCAAAAATCCTCGTCTCGTTAATGGAAAAGGTACATAAGCAAGTTTGATTTGTTTGGTAGCTTTTTATTGTGATTATATTCTTTATATATCATGAACAGTAATTTCTAACTTCTTCCATTGTATTTTATTTTATTTTATTTTCTTTTCTTTTCTTTTTTGCAGCCACACGTTGACTTTGGACTAAAACTTCTGGGAGCTGATGTTATGGCAGTTCCTGGTCTTTATAGATTCGTGCAGGTATTCTGCTGCCATTGTTTATTAAATCAGACGATTGTGACTAACAACTGGTTGATGCATCCATACGCAAGTGTAAATGGAAAGAGAACAAAGCATTACCACACTTCAGAATAAAATCCTATAGTGGCTCCATCTCCCATTTGATTCATAATTTTCTCTGGTGATCTACCGTATCAAACACTTAAGCTACAGAAATCTACAGACAAGGCAGAATGAGCCAGAGAATGACCAAGAAATAAACTTGACAATAACTATTACACAACCCTAGCAATTGAAGATGACTTAGTTTGAGATCTTTTTTTTTGTGGTGGTGGTTGGGGGGGGGGTACAATATACGATGGGGGGGGGGGGGGGTACAATATACGATACATGAGAAAAATGCCTTAGTTTGAGATCTTGAAACTATTCATTAAAGAAACAGAAAATCTATAGTTTTTTAACTCAAGACTGAATTATCTTCTCATGGAAGGAAATTGATTCCTCGACCAGTTCTTTTAAAATGTTCACGAGGAGTAGCACTTGAGCTTTAGCTTGCAAATGGCATGTCAACGAGATGGAGACACTAAAGTGTCATTGTGTCCTACAATTCATATATTGTTTATTCTTTCTCCTTTTTGCCTGTGCATTCTCTTACACATATAGTTACTTGCAGGAGACTATCAAGAACCAAGTAGCAAGCATGTATCTATGGCCCAAAGCACTAGAAGTGCCAATTATGGATCTTTCAAAGTAGTACTGACTACATTATATTAGCAATTTTTAAAGCATTCGTACCCTAATTTGGTTACTGATTAGTTAGCACCTGTGCAGTGCCATGAAGAAACCTGTTGGACTTTTGCACGTTAAAGTCATCAGGGCAAATAAACTTAAGAAGAAAGACCTTATGGGTAAATCTGATCCTTATGTGAAGCTAAAGCTCACAGAAGACAAGCTCCCATCGAAGAAAACGAAAGTGAAGCACAGTAATCTGAATCCTGAATGGAATGAGGAATTCAAGTTTATCATCAAAGATCCAGATTCTCAAGCCCTTCAGATAAGCATTTATGACTGGGAAAAGGCATGTCTCCTGTCCATAATTTCATTTTATTTTAATTTGTATATATATACCTCTTAAAGCACACATATTTGCAAAACAACCCCTCAAATCTGAATATTTGCAAAACTATTCCCCAAATCATCAACTTTGGAGCAAAAGAAACACTCAAAACAACTTTTTCTTGTGACAAGGGAACCTTGATATTTTTGTTTTGTTTTGTTTGGGTGGGGGTGGGGGTGGGGGTGGGGGTGGGGGTGGGGGGGTGCACTACAACCGGAGTGACAACCTCCACCTAAGTAAGTAAACCCCGGGAGTTGAGGCCCACCTTTAATCCCACACAACACCAGATAAATGCGGGCCCAGGAATCGAACTGAGGCACTCCGGGTTCATATTGGTACATCCAAACTACCTGGGCCACTCATTGGTGGTATCAAATCAACTTAGATAGGCTAATTTGTAACCGCAATGTAAAAAAAAATCTATTAAATAATGTAGTTAGTTTATCTTATCTTGCTTTATTTTAGTCCTACATTGCTTAGGTTATTAGGACCTCTATACTTTCTCTTGTAATTAAATACCTTAACAGAATGAATAATAAATCAATTTCTCACAAATATCTCTGTACTTATCATGGTGTCAAGCTTTCTTATTTGTCCGGGAGAGAGTTCTTCCTTCTTCCTCGAACTTGAAGCCGTCGAGGGGGTTTCGCTTCGCTATGCTCTTCCCCTTGGCGGCTTCGACTTCCAGCAACACCACTGCTAAGCCTTCCTCCAACAGCAACTCCTCCTCCCAATGCTTTGCCGCTGCAACCCCTCGCCTCATAAAATCTTAGCAGCGCCTCCACCGCAAACCTCAGCGGCTCAAAAGCAACCCCATCTCCGTTGCACCATGTCCCAAACCCCCAAACTCCATTCCTCTTCCACCAATTGACCATCGACCGCTTCCCTCCCTGGACAAAACCCACCGCCTTACAATATCAACTAGTCAACAACCCAAATCAAACCTCACCCTTCATACCTTCACGCCTCCAAATCCTGACTTTAGATCTGTTGCAAACCGCTGTCAGCCTCACCTCCACTCACGAGAAATTCAAGTGGAGGTGGGGCCTGCACGAGATTGGCTCTCCCCCAAACTCTCGCACGAGATCATCCCCAAATGCGTGGTTTTCATGGCCGCCCCCATCATCATCTCCCTGCTACGACCATTGCAGCAGCACCACTCTCTCAGTGCCTAATTGCGCACCCTAACCTAGCTCGAGAACCCACTGTTGCAGCCTCGTCGCAGCCTCATTGCAGCCCTGTTGAGTGGCCTTTAGCCCCAACCTCGCGCCATTCTCTATCTTTGGCCACCGCTCAATGAGATCCACTGGCAGTTCCTCTGGCGAGCCCCCCGACCAAGCTCTCCTCTGACCAACACCCTAGGCCATGCTTTCCCTAGCCAGCATTCTCGGCCACGCTCTCTCGTCCAAGCACCCCAGCTAACCACCTCAGCCAAGCTCCCTCCGGCCGAGCATTCCTGGCCAAGCTTCCTCTGTCTAAGCTCTCATCGGACAGCTACGCCCTCATTATCTCTGTCCAAGCCCTCACTGGATAGCACCGCATCATCTCCTACTTGCAAGCAAATCATCATGCGCACTCCTCGGCAAACTGCCTTGGAACCCAAATACAATTTGAGAGGGGATATTAAATAATGTAGTTAATTTATCTTATGTTGCTATTATTTTAGTCCCACATCGTTTAGGTTATGAGAACCTCTCTACTTTCTCTTGTATTTAAACACCTCAGTAGAATGAATAATAAATCAATTTCTCTCAAATATCTCAATACTTAATATCACACACATAGCCTAATGTTTACTCACCATATCCGACAGAGTTGATTTTTTTGATTTGGGGATATTTTTTCGAAAGTTGAAGAGTTGGGTGTAGTTTTGAAACACTGAGATTTGGGGGGTAGTTTTCAAAAGGCACATGATTTAAGGGGTATATAACCAAAAAAAACCCTTTTGAAAATAATTTTCATATCGTAACCTTGTTTAATTTTTCTTGCAGGTTGGTAAACATGATTTAATGGGAATGAATGTTGTGCCAGTGAAGGAACTTGTACCTGATGAGCCGAAATCTATGACGCTGAACTTGCTGAAAAATATGGATCCTAATGATCCTCAAAATGAAAAATCACGTGGAGAGGTTGTTATGGAATTGACATATAAGCCCTTTAAGGAGGATACAACAACCGAGATGGCTGATGATGGAAATGCGGTAGAAAAGGCTCCTGAGGGCACTCCAGAAGGTGGTGGTGTTCTCGTAGTTATTGTTCACGAAGCTTAAGATCTTGAGGGGAAACACCACACTTAATCCGTATGTGAGAATTCTTTTCATAGGAGAGGAGAGGAAAACGAAGGTACCTTGAGAATGTTTTGTTAAGTGTTTTTCCTTTAATTTTTATATCAGTTTTATATTTTGTTTACTTGCGATGAGGGGCTTTTATGGATGCAGTACATCAAGAAAAACAGAGATCCAAGATGGAATGAAGAGTTTCAGTTTACATGTGAAGAACCACCGATTAATGATAAACTTCATGTAGAAGTCCTTAGTAGGCCATCAAGTCTTGGCATTCACTCCAAGGTATGTACCTGTTTGAGAAGTTTTTGAGTATCATAAGTACTATGGTAATGAACAATTGTGTCTTGTTGTGCAGTGTACATAATGCTAATATGTTGTTAGCGTTATCTTAACCCACAAAAGTTCGTTGACGTTTATATTGTTGACACAGTTTTTACCTGGTGCCTTGTGATATTTATTATTATGTTCTAATTTCAGGAGACCTTGGGCTTTACTGAAATCAACCTTGTAGATGTCGTCAACAACAAGCGAACCAACGAGAAGTACCATTTAATTGATTCTAGGAATGGTCGTATTCAAATAGAGTTGCAATGGAGGAGCACTTGAGAACTACTAGCAGAAATTTCAAAAGGGAAGAGAATTGTGGTTTCATAGGAGATTTGTTGTCTGCGCAAAGCCTTGAAAGCTTTATGCGTTCCATGGTAACGATTGCCCTTGTACATAAAATGCTCGATTGCTTCCTGTTTCTTTAAGCATTTGTAAGTTCGGTGTTGTTTGTGACGGCAAATTCTAGGAAAATCCTTTTGTGGTACTGTAATCTGTGTAATTGTTTGCTCGATTTCCACAAATATTGGGTTATAGCAATTTCTTTGTACTTTTAAGGAATATAATTTACTTATTTGTGTGTGCGTGCATATTCTCTCCCAAGTAATGTGTATGTTTGGATGCTCATCATAGCCTTCTACTGTAAAATTAAACAGAACAAATTTTGCGCATCGTCTGTATAGATAACCGCAGGTAAAAAAAAACGTTGAAAAACGAGAGAAGACAAACGACAGTGTGTAAGGGCGCGATTTGTGTATTGCAGAATGGAATATAATCGTGAGAATATGTATAACCGAACCAATACTAAAGAACATTAAATCATTAATCTAAGCGGAAAATAACATAAAGGAAAATCCGAAGTCAAATTTACACGAAACCCAACAAAGCTAACACCAGAAATAAACAATAATGAATATGGGTAGATTTATTTTCATCTGTGTATGATTTAGATAACCATCACTACCTACAGCTTGAGAAATCCCAGACAAATTTACTCAATGTTGATTCAACAAGCAAAGCTAACAAATTCATCAATCAGGTATATGTAAATTAAAATTCGCTCCAAATTATCTCTTCTAGTTTTCACGAGGGTCCCCTGCAGAATATTAATAATTTTAGCAATTCCTACCACTTAAAATAAGATCCGTTGGCCAAATAAATAAGAGAAAAAACAAAGAAAACACAAAAAGATAATAATTGTAAGATTATTTATTAGAGAACCAATACTATAGAATAATCTAAGCAAAAGATAACATAAAGAAACAATAATGACGTTCTTGCATAGCAACGGGGATGTGATTATGAAGAAATATTAATTAGATCTACCTTTTTGTTGTCGAGTGTATTTTTCATTGCAAATTATACGTTTTGCTTAAATTTTGTGAACGTAACAACATTTACATTTTAAACTGGAATTAAATAACACGGGGGACAAATAATTATTTTTAAATTTCACTAATGCAAGGACTTAGACGAATTTAGTGCAACCAAATTAGTTACAAGAAATTGTAAATCCTACTTCCTTTCACAACTAATATTCGATTAGTTTTTGCATTTTAGTCCTTGAACTTATTGCAAATTTACTTGTGTAAATTTTTATTTACGAATATGTCACCCCTATAAATAGGTAAGAGTGGGTTCTAAGCCTAGGGTTTTCACTTTTTCTCCTGTTTCAGCCTCCTCCTTCAGATCTGACTCCAAATAGACTCTCCTCTCTCTCCTCCTTCAGATCTGATTCCAAGTTGATTCTAGGGCTCGGGTTTTCGCTGTTCTCCCTCGAAGCTGGTCGTTCACTCGTCCCTCGAAGCTCGTCGTCCCTCGAATCTCGTCGCCGACTCCTCCCGTCGCCGACTCCTCCCTCGAAGCTCGTCATCCCTTGAAGCTCGTCGTCCCTCGAAGATCGTAGTTTACTCCTCCCTCGACTGTCCCTCTCGAGTCATCAAAATGTAAGTTGGTTGAAGCTTAAAGTTACCATTATTTTTGATTTTTAATTTATACTAATTGCTAAAGGTTACTTCTTTATGCCTTTTACAGATAATTTTGCACAAGATCTGATCTCATCCCTTGCGGATCTGTAATTTCAATCGGCTTCATTTAATCGTCAGAGGTGAACTCTCATCTTTCTTTACTACCTAATAATCCGGCTCAATGTTTTTCTCTGTGGCAAGTGACGTAAATCATTAGTGGTACCATTAGTTATCAATGATGCTCTGATGGTCATTTGATTTGCTCGACCTTAACAATAGGAGTCATTAGTATGCTTAAGTGACTGGGCAGTTAGGTAAGTGATATAAATCATTGTGTGCTAGTAGTATCTTTAGAAGTTCTGAACTTGAGAGAAGTTGTGTGCTTTGTATGATAAATAAAGCTACAACTTTGTCCTCAGATAACAAATATCACATTGATGAATGTGGATTTCGTGATTGGGCGGTTAGGTGCGCTTCAACTGAGTATTCCTTAAGAAAGTAATCGTATAAGCTGAAGGTACAATCGAAGTAAGCATTGGGATCTCATTTTGAAGATGTATCACCAAAGAAGAAGCACCTGAAAGGAAAATAAGAAATCTCAATGACAAAGAAACAGATGGGAGAAAATCGAAGAGACATTTATGAATTACTTATTAAAGATGTCACCCTGTAAAAATAAACTCAACTAATGGAGATCAGCTTCCACATAAAATCCATAAATTATGTCCTATGATAAAAAAAGAACTTATATAACCAGAGACAATGTCATCTGGGAAAGATTTGGAGCAAAAAACTCTCATTGGAGCTTGATGTTCAGGTATCCATTATTAGGGACCACTTTGTTAAAATTCGTCAACATCATTTAATGTTAAAAATCGTTCATGACCTATGATTTTATGATGGGAAATCAAGATATTTGGGTCTTGCTTCAGTGTGAAGATTAGTGTTTATATTCTATTTTGATTTTTATGCAATTGAAAACGATTTTTTTATAACATGATGCGTGTTGACTTATGTACTATTCGAGTTGAATTCGAATAGTAATGTGATACTGACCTACTGGGTAAGTTCGTAACTTGGTAATTGTTATATTGTTGTAGATTCCAAATATATTAATTTTCAAATATTTGGCGAATAGATATCGAATAGTTGATGGATAACTTGATATCAAAACCATGAAATATTGTTGATCGAATGTTCGCGAATAGTTACCGAACACGTACACAACTAAACGAAGTGAATTTGAATTCTGACTATTATTCTAGTCGAATTCGAACACGAATAGTGCTATTTGAGCCGAATTCGAATAAGACGCTATTTGTTCAGATTCGATTCGTTTCCACCCCTAGTAAAATTATATATCGGTATCAGAGTTCACGTGTCTCGGGCCCCACGAAATGAATTCTTTGTTATCTCACTTTTTCCCAAGTCAAATCAACGGTAACTTTCTTTTACTGCCTAGGGCCCAATCCATCCTGAAAAGTCTGGATTTGATTTTTTGATCTATTCATTTCGATGCACAGACGATCGAATAACCCCGAGCCCAGTCCTCATTATTGGGGTATTTAGGCTCACTGATTTTATTCGTTATTGTAAATGAACCCACAGTCCCATATAAGACTCACATATGAGAGTGAAATATCAGAAATTACGAAAGAAAAATGGTGCATTTAGCATTTATATTTTTTTCTTGATATAATTAGCATGTGCGTTAAGTATAAAGAAAATGTGTTTTAATATTATGAAATTGTTTTCATTTGACAATATATATAAATAAAAATAGTTGGTGAGAAAAATAATTTATTTAGAAAAATTGATTAATAATAGACACAAAATTTAATTGCAATTTGCATGTTCAAAATTATTTTCATAGAAGAACTAGATAGCCAACATACATTTGAGCATGATACAATGCTAGCATATGATAAATAACCAATAAATTCACAAATTAGAAATTGCACTTAGGGTTATTGCTTTCTTTGGCTTCCATAATGGACTTGTAGTAGATATAGATACCATTCTATTTCCTAGCAAGTTTGTAGCAAGACTCTTAATAATTAAATCCTTTTGGTTAATTTGATCTTTTACTTTCGTTACTATATAGAAACTTAAGTAATTTATACGTGGTCAGTTACTAAGTACTAAAATTGTTAAGTCAAAGAGCTAATATTTCATGCAATTCAAAATTGTCGAGCTTATTGTTGAATGTTGACAGGATAAGTTCTTCGCAGTTAGTTAATATGAAATGGACTAAACACACCTCTAACTTGATTTTATTGTTATGAATAAATTAGATCTAAACTTATCCCTTCATCTTCATAAAAATTACATATTATAAAATAATAATCCGTTGCACGTTGTGTGTGACAGCCTCCTCGAGCTCCACAAAATGTTTCCATACCGTATTTTTTAGGATGCCAATTCAACATAAAGATCACCAATTCAAACCTAGAATACCAATTCAACATAAAGATCACCAAAATGGGAGCGGATTGAGACCATCGCCGTTGTCCTTAAGAAAATCGTCGGTGAAAGCATCGCCATCGTCGGAAGAGGCATCGGATCCGGATCCATCGTCATCGGAAAAGGCGTCGGATCCTTCGTCATCGGAATCTGATGGCTGGCTTTGCTCTTCTTCGTCCTCGATATCTGATTCCTGCTCCTCTACTTCTTCTTCGATATGGAGGGGCTCTGGAGAGGGATCCTTCTTGTTCTTCTTCTTCAAATTAGGGTTTTGAGATTTGGATCCCTTTTGATTTTTCTTCGTAGCCATTTGGAGAAGCGAGAGAACGAAGAAAGAGGGCGCGTTACTGAGAGGAGAGAGATAAACCCTAGGGTTTATGGTCTTTTCGACGGTTCCGTGCTTCTTAACTCCAATAGGGTAACGGGTTACATCGGGTTGGATCTTTAACGGGTGCACATATGGTCCATTACAAACACGTGGATAATGACGCGAGAATTTTACGACCCATTTGAGAATCCGAAGCCAGGTAACTTATTGCATTTACATTTAACATTCACACAAAAAAATAAAAAAGAACTCTAAAAACTTGCAGGAAAGTAGGAAAATCACCTATCATATCCTCGTGTCGGTATCAGAGTTCACGTGTCCGGACCTTGTGTTTGAGAGTAGGAAAGTAGGAAAATCACCGCAAATAAAAGATAAAACTTGCAGGAAAGTAAACAATAAAGAACATACCAGATTTAATAAGGTTCGGCAACGTGCCTACGTCCTCGGGAGCCACACCACACAATTCTTTGATTAACTTGAAAAAAGATTACAAGCTCGCAAATTAGGGTTTAATCTCTCTGAGATTTCTCTGAAGAATCCTCTCAAAAACTCTCTTTTTGATGCACTACAAACCCTAAAAACGTTTAGGTATATATAGGATCCCAGATCAAAACAGAATCCTGAACAGATTTGGAAACAAGAAAACCCGACTCCGGTCGACCGGATCATGTTCCATGGTCGACTGGCCAGAGCGCCAACTTCCTACATGAGTTTGGTGCACGTTTGCGGTCGACCGGATCAGCTCTCGCGGTCGACCGGACAGAGTGAGGATTTCTTTTCAGTTTCCTGCAAGCGTCATGGTCGACCGGATCCACCTCGTCGGTCGATCAACCCGCGTCAATCCTGTTTTCTTCGTCTTTTTGATTCAACTTTGGGTCTACACACTTAGACTAACAAACGTAACTAATATCGCTAGGCATTAAAAAAAAACTCAAGATGAAATTGTAACGTAGAGTTTTTTTTACTTTTTTTTTGTGTGAATGTTAAATGTAAATGCAATAAGTTATCTGGCTTCGGATTCTCAAATGGGTCGTAAAATTCTCGCGTCATTATCCACGTGTTTGTAATGGACCATATGTGCACCCGTTAAAGATTCGACCCGATGTAACCCGTTACCTTATTGGAGTCAAGAAGCGCGGAACCGTCGAAAAGACCATAAACCCTAGGGTTTATCTCTCTCCTCTCAGTAACTCGTCCTCTTTCTTCGTTCTCTCGCTTCTCCAAATGGCTGCGAAGAAAAATCAAAAGGGATCCAAATCTCAAAACCCTAATTTGAAGAAGAACAAGAAGGATCCCTCTCCAGAGCCCCTCCATATCGAAGAAGAAGTAGAGGAGCAGGAATCAGATATCGAGGACGAAGAAGAGCAAAGCCAGCCATCAGATTCCGATGACGAAGGATCCGACGCCTTTTCCGATGACGATGGATCCGGATCCGATACCTCTTCCGACGATGGCGATGCTTTCACCGACGATTTTCTTAAGGACAACGGCGATGGTCTCAATCCGCTCCCATTTTGGTGATCTTTATGTTGAATTGATATTCTAGGTTTGAATCAGGGCTAAATTTAGTCTTCTTTATTGGATTTGTGTAGAGGAGATGGGGTACTCTGGGTCGGAATCGGATGAGAGCGATTTAGAGGTCAAGTCTCGAGCGATTGACGAGGACAAGGCGAAAGTGGAAGAGGAAGCGGAGGAGGAATTGAGGTTGAATATAAAGGAAGAGTTTGACGAGTTCAGATTGCCTACAGAAGAGGTAATCTTTTGTTAATTTCTTTCATGTTTTTTGTATTCTTAGTGCTCAGTGTTTGTTTGTGTTTCAAGTTCTGTTATTTTTTATTGCAATCTGTTTTAAGGGTGAAGTGTTTAGTTTTGAAGTTGTTAGATTAGTCTTTCATGCTAAAAGATAAGCCATTTTTTTCATCTATATATTAAGAAGCTGCTGTAGTCTTGTGCAAACAAACAAAAAATTGAAGTACAACATACATAAGGAACACGGTTCATTGAAATTATGTACTAAAGATGGTGATTATATTCCTTGACTATATCTTTTTTCTGTAGTAATGTTGGATACTGAATTTCTTGCAAGTTTATGAGTTTATTACCAAGTATTTGTTTGGTTATACTTATTTGTACAGTTGGAAGCTCAAATTGTTTTCATCTTTATGGGGAACTTAATGGGACAACAACCTGAAATTTAGGAAATTGAAAGAGTCTTGTGCACTTAACTATTCGATGTAGAATGCCCTTCAGTTGTTTTTTTTTCGTTCTGTCACTAAACTGTATCCTCTTTGTTTGAATATCAGTGTATCTTCTAGAAATTTGACAAAGAATTTTCAGAATTTTCAGAATTAAATCTATAAATTGAAAGTGATATTTGCTGATGAAGAAGGCAACTATTTACTGGTATTATATGGTAACAAGGTCAAACTTTGAAAAGACTATAATAATGGTAGTGTGAAAACATGTCCTGATTGATGTATCGTGCTTATAAACTTCCGAATAGGCCTCGTGACATTGGCATAAGAAATGACTTAGAAAAGTTTTTGGATGTTTTTTCCCACTGATTTGACTATTGTGACATGACAGGAACTCGAAGAAGAGGCACATCAACCTCCGAACCTCTCAAAACTCCAGCGCAGAATAAAAGAGAGTATGTACAAACGTCCTCAATACTTTGAGCTATTCTTGACATCTTTAAATCTCCTCCCCTAAAACATGAAAAGTTTGTTTGTTTTTGTTCTTTCTAAATCCTTAGTTCTTGTATAGAATTTGTTACTAATGGATATTATGGATTCCCTTCTATCAGTTGTTAATGTGCTCTCAAATTTCAAAAAATTGAGACATGATGGTGCTTCACAGAAGGATTACGTGGAGCAGCTAAAGGTGGACCTGGGTTCTTATTATGGCTACAATGATTTTCTCATTGGGGCTCTTGTTGAGGTATTGTTCAATATAGTGATTAGGTTTGTTCCAGATTCTTGCCGATATCAACTTTTTCCAACTTTGTCATCACCTGTATCTTTTCCAGATGTTTCCAGCTGCGGAGCTTGTTGAACTCCTGGAAGCTATGGAGAAGAGTCGACCTGAATGCTTGCGAACAAACACTTTAAAGGTACCAATAGCTATCTCAGTCATGTATTGTTGAGAACAGGTTAGGTTACGCTGATACCTATTTGATATGTTTTGCTTATTTCGTGTTTTAATCTGGCATTCACATCAATGTGCACATGCATTATTTCTGCTTAATAATTGCAATATATTCTAAATATTGCTGAATCTTTTCTAGATTATATGTGATCTCTTCTAGTAATCAAGGCTAGTGAATGTCTATCTGTCTTTTTGACTAATTTTGTTGTTGGTTATAGACTCGGAGAAGGGATCTGGCTGGCGTCCTGATAAATAGAGGAGTTAACCTTGATCCTATAGGCAAGTGGTCAAAGGTAAAAATTTTGACGCTTTCTTCAGTCTGATGTTGGTAATTGGTTTCAACTGTTGGAGGATATAACAGCACCTGTTTAAAATATAAATGACAGGTTGGGTTAGTGGTGTATGAGTCCCAAGTTCCTATTGGTGCAACCCCTGAGTATATGGCTGGGCATTACATGGTATTAAACTGTTATACATATTTTGTTATCACTTTTATCTAGTCAGTTGGGGGCTTTCTAGTTTGAATTCTTGTAATTTGCTTATTATTTTTTTATTTTATATCGATCTGCAGCTGCAAGGTGCAAGCTCTTTCATACCTGTGATGGCACTTGCTCCGCAGGAGAAGGAGCGGATTGTCGATATGGCGTAAGAATTTTCAGTCACATGCTTACTGTGCTTTTTTTAATTGATCCAGCAGATTCAAAGCATCTATTACCATTTACACTTCCATATTGGAAGTAAGAAGAGTTAAAAGAGTTAAATAAGTCATTATTTTAGAGGTCAAGTATCTAAATTCATATCGTTTTGGCTGTGTAAAGTTAGGTGGATATGATAGGTGCTTATTCCCACATTAGATGTGAAAGTTAAATTTCACTATTATAATCAAATAGTAGGTTGTAGATAAATAGAATATAAACTATTGCTCGATCACAGAAGACTATTGTCTTAGTGGTAAGAGTATCAAAACACATTTTCTCACTGTTGAAGGCCGTTATAGACTTGATTTTTATCACCGATCCATTTTCTGAAGTTTTGATCAATCTGCTGGTACCGATATCGGATACGAGTAGCCTGGTTTTTAAGCATGTTAGACATGGTTGAAGATCCTTGACGATAAATTTGAGTTGTGTAGGTGTTTGACATACACAAGACAACCCGATCCCTAGTGCTATACCCAAGCCAATTGGACGCCTACTCTAGATTAAAGGTGCAAGGATAAACCACCTTCTTGCCAGTCGTTGTCACTAACACTCACATTTGGACCATTTCTTTTTTAAAATACTTTTATCATATTATTGAAATTAATTGATATATTACTTGCATGCCACTCTAATATTATTTATGTTTCTATAGGTCTGCTCCAGGTGGAAAAACGACATATATCGCTGCTCTTATGAAAAATACTGGTATATTCATTTTGGCAAACTTGATTGCTTGCTCGTCTCCAAGTTATAATTCCGTTATGACAAAGATGTCCTGCTTTTGTTGATTATCTATTATCAGATTATTTTAGAAGTTATCACCTTATTCTTATTAATAGAGGTAAGGTGATTTAGGCATAGGGGTAAAAGGGCTTCTAAAGGGTTACTGACGATATTAATGAATATCTTTAATAGTCTGTTTTTTGTTTACACAATATTCTTCGAAGCATAAATTTATGAATAAATTTTATACAAGGTTTTAGGTATTTTAATAGATTTTATTAGAATTTTTTAGTTGTATTTTTTTGCTTTCAACTTAAATAATTCTTGAAAAATTTGGGATGCATATCTGTTTATGAATATGACAATTTATGTTATACATGTGCGTGCTCTATTGTTAAATATTGATTGATTATGCTAATGATTAGAGGAGCACAAACTTCAGAGCTATGTGGTGTTTCAATATAAGTCAATAGTTGCGTAAAGTCGTAAACAATAACATCACTTACTAATATTTCATACTGAGATAGTGGACACAACATAAATGCATTCGTATCTTTAAATCAAGTAGAATTGTGAACCTGTCATTCAATCCTTAGTCGTGGAGAAATCTCTGACATAGTTTCAACACATCTTAAATACTCTACGAAATTTAGATTGGATCAAAAGGAATATCAAACATACCCCTCAAGTATCCGATATGACCTGATACTAATACATCCTCGTCAAACGCAATGTAGCTTCACAACCTTCTTTTTTTCCTTACCTAATTCATATATTTTTCATATTGATTTTACATACAGGGTTCCAGTCGTTTTGTCTTCTACATAGTTCGTCTATTTATCAAAAGACAAGTTTTAATAATTCCCACAATCTCTCTGCAAATAAATATTGAAATTTTTTGTTGATAATCTTTCCTTAAGACTATTTTATTTATTTATCTTATTTCTTCAATGTTTAATATATTTTTTAACTTGTCTAATCGTGTAGGTATAATTTATGCAAATGAATTTAAGGAACCAAGGCTCAAGTCACTAACTGCAAATATTCATCGGATGGGCGTGACAAATACTGTAATATGCAACTATGATGGGAAGGAGGTGAGTTGCTAACTTGGTTATTAATTTTTCCTGGTTCTAGTGTTTGCTATTGGATTACTAAAATTCTAAACGTTGCTATACTAAACCATTGGACACACCACTTTAACTGAGCACTAAACTGATTGATATTGTTCTTCTGCTTTAATTATTGTTTATCTAATGTATGCAACTATTATGGCTGAAACATAGTCGAAGTTTGGGTTTCCATACTGTATTTTTTTAATGATCTTCAAAATGAATTCAAATTTTCTTCTGGGAGTTTGTATGCATTTCCCCATTAAAATATATTTATAATTGATTTGGTATAAGATTTTTAGTTTATCAACATTAATTACTCGATTAAAGAGATATTTCCCTTTGTGTAAAGAATTTGATTCTCAATATTTTTTAAAATTGTCTTTGGAAATTTTAATTATCTTGTATAGTATTTGAATTAGATCCTTAATTTCAATATTCACGTTAAATTTTCAGTTCAAGAACTATTATCTGCGACGGAGTGAGGGAAACCGAGTCTCTAAATCTACATATGTTTAAAATCTTGATAACAGATGCAAGAGCAATTGAAATGTCACATAATATGTGTGCACAGCATACAAATCATTGAATTAAGAGTAGACAAGTATTTTTAATTAAAAAATTAAATGTGTGAATACTCATTTGATTCCTTTAATATATGAACAAAAAAAAGGAAAGAAAAAAATTCCGTTAAATGATCTTCCAAATCTGATGTTATCGAGTAGATTAAATGCAGTACTATTTGATGATTTTTTTTTTCTTTTGAATGAAAACCTATTTGATAGTTATTGACTCAACTTGTACCCTGAGCAGCTATGCTGAGAGCATGAATCTCTGAGCCACCCCCTCTCTTATAAGTAGTGGATGCCATGTTTTCTCCTTAGATCTTTTGCTATTGGATTACCAAAAGCTTAGATAACTGTATTCCATCAATTTTTTTAAAAAAAGAAAAAAAAGAAAAAGGATTAGATAATTATAGGGGTAGTCAGTTCCTCCTATGAAGATCGATCTTGACTGTTGGCAAGTGAAATGTTCTCTCCTCTTGATGGCCATTTGTTCTTTTTTCTTTTGAAGGAAATGACACAATTTCGTATTTAAAGAATTTCTTTTTTTTTATGGATCCTATTCTTTTGACATCCGGACGCATTGTTTGCTTGTGATTGTTGGCAAAAATCATGAATATTTCTTGCCAGAAGTATATACTTGCTTGGGATTACCTTTTGGTTGCTGATTTCTATAAATGAATTGAGCTTTTAGTAACACAGGTTTCATCTATTAGCTAGTTGTGTTCTGTTTGGCTTGTATTTATCTGCATGCTTCTGCATCCATTTCTTATTATTCTGGTGCAGTTAATTGCTGGAAGTTTAGACTGGATGTAAGTGATATAGGTGTGACTAATTAAGAGTTCTGGCATTATTATTAACTCTTGTGTCTTATGCTTTCAGCTACCTAAAGTCCTGGGATTAAATTCTGTTGATAGAGTATTGCTGGATGCTCCCTGCAGTGGTACTGGGGTATGTTGAATATCTCAATTCAAATTTTCTCAGTTTGGTGTTTTTTAAATCTGTTTCTATATATCATCCATTATATTAGCCTAATGAGTTGTTCTGATTCTTTTTACTCTTTTCAAGACTATATGGAAAGATCAAAATGTTAAAACCTCAAAGACCCTTGAGGATTTACAGAACTGTGCTTTTGTTCAAAAGGTAATTTCTCTTTTATGAGCTGATGTAACGTTGTTGCATTTAAACTGTATAGTTCTTGAACCTTGGTGATGATGAGATTTTTTTCTTGTTTTACTCAATTTCATGAACTTGTTTACTGATAATATCTTGAAAACATGCTATAATCAAGGTTACTGATGGCATGTAGCGGCGAGGCACCGCTAAGACTATTTGGGGCTATAGCCGCAAAATAGTGGCAAAAAGCGCAAAGTCAAATAGTGGTCCAATTTAAATATGTATAAGTATTAAAAAAATAAAAATTAAAGAAAATTCTAAAAATCTACAAATGCATATTTGATGATTTATAGAGATCCTAAGCATGAAATAGATGTGTAACAATCACATAATATTAACAAAAGTACTGTACAGAATGAAAAACTGTACATGTTTATCAAAAAGACTGTTATTTGTCCCATTCTTTTAACTTTTAAGTCTCTAATAGACAAATTCTCAACAATAGAAAACCATTAATTAGTAGCAACATAATTGTATTAACCATTTGAAACTTGACATAAATATGAAGTCTCTAAGCATAGAGCGCTATTTGCCATTATTTCGCGCTTTCGAGCCCTTTGGCAAGTGAAAGCGCTCACGAACGCTATTGATTACTGCAATCAATGAAATTGTAGTGGTTGGCTCTGCTACCGCTATATGCGCTGCAATAGCGCCGCTATTGGCTGCTATTTGAAACAATGGCTATAATGGCTCTGCTACCGCTATATGCGCTGCAATAGCGCCGCTATTGGCTGCTATTTGAAACAATGGCTATAATCTCCTATTATGCGTGGAATTCTGCTTTAGGATTGTTGATTTGGTATTACTTTATGTTGTTTGTTTCATGCATAGTATGGACATAAAATTTTTGTGAAACTGACATATGGTAATAGGGATGTGGTTAGCTGTACTGTAATGTGCCATCATGACTATGTCATGCAAAGAGGGATTGATGTGATTCTTATCATTTCCTGTTTGTAAATCAGACATTGCATTGTCATGTATAGGTAGACAATTTAATATACTGAAGATTGCTAACATTGCACTGCATAGGTAACAAGGTTTTGTGAAGTGACTTCTTGTATTATGCCTCTTGGGATATCTGCTGTTACTCCGGGAATTTGTAACGTTTGACCACTGTAGAGCTCTAATTATTGTGCTCGGAATGTACTTGTTTTTTTATTCTTAACAGAGATCAGATAAAACTGTTGTCTGAAAAACACTTGTTCTCATTATTTACCCAAGCTTGTTGTGTTGTCTTCACCATCAGTTGAATCTTTTATTGGATTCCTCTTTATCTTTAATCATGATTGACTTCAGCAGCCAAAGTACCTTAGCTCTTTGTTGGACTCCCGTGAGTATTAAAACTGTCTGGTTATCACCATGGCCTTGATTTATTTCCATTTACTTGTATAATTTATTTTTGGGAAAATGAAGTTCCTACTTCCTACTCTCTTATACTTTAGGTAGATTACTATATTATTATTGTTTGAACGTGCAATGATGCCCCCTTGCAGCAACTTATTTTAGCAGCAATCGACTTGGTAGATGCTAATTCTAAATCTGGAGGATACATAGTTTACTCAACATGCTCCATGATGATCCCTGAGGTTTGTTTTTTGAGTTGGCATCTAAGGTGATATAACTTCAGTTCATGCGTAATCTTTGACCCTTTATATGTTTATATTCTAGAATGAGGCAATTATTGATTATGCTCTAAAGAAGAGAGATGTAAAGCTTGTGCCATGTGGTCTAGATTTTGGTCGCCCAGGGTATGTTAAATCTCAAACTTAGCTCTCTTAAGTCTTCCATAATTTTCTTACTTATTTTTTTGATTATCCAGGTTTATACGCTATAGAGAGCACCGATTCCATCCCTCCTTGGAAAAAACAAGGAGGTTTTATCCCCATGTAAATAACATGGATGGATTTTTTGTTGCTAAGGTGAACATTTGTTTGCAATTATGCAACAGATAATTTTTAAATTCCGTTTCTTTATTCAATATTTAGCTGAAAGTGAATAATGGTGATTGGTTATGCTTTCATGATTTGTGATCTACAGCTAAAGAAGATGAGCAATACCAAACCGGTGGTATCTGAACCTTCTAAACGAGCAGAAAAGACGGAGCAAGCAGAAGCTATTGATGACACTGTGGATGCTCAAACAAACATCCCAATTGTAAAAGTTAAAAAGATGGAACTCGAGAAAAAGGATGGCAGAAAGGAAAATATCAAGGGCGCCACAAAAGAGGAAGGGAAGGTATTGATGTGCTCTATCACAATTTGCATTTTTTTCTCTTTAAAAAATGCTGATATGTTGGTGGTTTTGGATCTAATTTGGCAAGTTATCATTATTATTATTTTAAATCTGTCACAGTTGGAGAAGCAAAGCAAATCAAAACAAGCAGGAACTAAGTCCTTTGTTCCACTGAAAAAGAGACAAGTGGCAGTCGTTGATGATGGTGAGAAGGGTGAAAGTATCACAAATGAGAAATTTAACAAGTATAAATTTTGGGAAAAACGTAAGAAATTGAAGAATAATGCGACTAAGAAGAATGGGAAAGTGATACCTTCATCAACAGTCAGAACGAAGAAGAAAAGGAAGTTACCTTCAAAGGAGGAAATTTCACAAGCTAGGTGAGGCCTTTGGTTCTCTCTCATTTCGTCATGAATGAAGTTACCCATATTATATATTATTTTGTATAGCTTTTACATGAGGGGAGGGGAAAAGGGAAGGGGAGAGAATATGAAGGTTATAATTTATAAAGCTAACCATCCCAAAACTACGTTTGTTTACAACTTTTAATTAGCGAGAGGGAGGGGATATCTAAAAGGAACTAAAATTTCTCTCTTCTTGACCCTCCCAAATGGAAAAATTTGGAGGGAAGGATTGAATTTTACGTGAAGGGAAGGTAAAGTGGTAATGTAGTTACCCTTCCCTTCTCATTCTCTACTCTAAACACAAATTTATAGTATACCCTCCCTTCCCCTAGTTGTTTATCCAAACACAATGAGTTCTAATACATACCCTTCCCTCTCTGTCCCTTCCTTTTGGGTTAACTTCAAGCTTTCCGCTCCCTACCCTCATTTGTATCCAAATTCAGAATCCTCTGTGAAATTATTCTTACAACTAATGGGTTGGCATTAGCTCATAATTCCAAAAGAAGACATCTTTCTTCTGCCGGAATTACTACACTGGGTAGGTTTTACTTTTTTTTTTGCAGTCAAATGTCCCATCCAGTTATTTACTTGAGTTGTACACTGTAATTTCCTTCAATTTATATGGTAATAATGACCTTGCTGCATCAGTTCTATGCATATGTAGGTTTAAGAATACTGCAGTAGCAAGATAAAATGTTTGTTTGGATTTAATTTGTGAGATTTTTGTAACGTAACACAGAATTTTCACTCTGATTTCTGGTAGGGAAGAGAAAAGGAAAGCCTTGAAGAAGAGAAAGATTTGAGCAGCAGTATAAAGTAAGGATTCATCCTAGGGCTATTGCAAGTGCTCGATGATCAACTGCTGCTCAATTTGCAGTCTGTCAGCCGAATGCTTGGACCTGCAGATTGCTGCAGTAGGATGAATGTATTCTTTCACAGTGGTGATTAATGCGCCTGTTGCAATTTTGGTCGTGGTTAGTATTATTTGTAACACTATAATCATGTAATGCTGGAAGGACGATTCTTAAAGTTTCTGATTCTTTGTTTGCACTTACTAATGTAATGCTGAAAAGATGATTCTTTAAGCTTGTCATCTTCGTTTTCTTGTCGAGACGAAGAAATGAGGGAAGGAAAGCAAGAGGTTGCTTAGGTTAGTATTGTTGTTTTTTGTTAGTTTTATTTGGTTTCGCATGCCTTTACGCATTTGAGATGCGACCATCTCTCAGTGCGCTAAGTGGCCCGTTCTCTCTATGTATGGTCGTACGCATATTCGCTTGGAGTGTATTTTTCTTCAACTCTAGTAATTGTTAGTCTAAATTTTTAGGGCTATTTGCATATATGTCTCTTAAATCATGTGTATTTGGAAAACTGCTACTCGAATCTCAGTATTTGCAAAATCACCCCTCAAATCATCAATCTTGGAAAAAAAATACTTGTAAATTGGTCAATCATTAACTTTGATAGGCTAATTTGTAATCAACAAAATATTCAAAATTGTATTCACGAGGTTGATGTTCTGTTAATTTTAGGGGCATTTTTTAAAAGTCGACGATATGATGTTGTAAGGGGTGTATATGCAAATCACCCAAATTTCTTTTATTATAAGAGAAAAGAAAGTCTTGCTAGTGCTCAAGAGAAATGATAACGGGTGGAGTTAACGGGGCCCAAGCGTTACAAAACATGGCTGTCAAAATTTTTCCAAATCAAGCCCAATACTTTCATATGGACCGAAATTTAACCCGTCTGTATCTTGATAGGCTGATCTGTTCAATGACCAAAACACCCCTCGAGATGCCATCCTTCCCTTGAAAGCCTTTCCCCATTTAAAACCCCCGCCAACAATTCCCCCCCTTCCTTTTCCCTTCCCTTCCAAAAGCCAATATAATCAGGGCCTGTTCGGTTGTTTTCCGAAAAAAACAAGAAATGAAAATGTCACATTTCATTTGATATCATGACATTTCAAGAGTTTTCCCACATTTCATTTTTTGTGTTCGTTTCGCAAAAAAATCACCCTTGAAACCGCCAAGTCACATAAAGAGACAAAAAAATCCGCAATAGTAACAGTGCATGTGTTTTCTATTTCTTGTGTTCGTTTGAAAAAAAAAAGAAAGAGAAATGGAAACATTTAAATAATCTGTTTAATTCTCATTCATTGTTCCAACAATGCTTTTAAATATTAAAAATTCATTGAATTGACATTTCCAAGTGTTTTCAAAGGTTTTTGTTGTGAAAACACATTTCTTAAAAATGTGATGTGGCATCATTTCTCTAAATTTTAAAACGAACCGAACTGAAAAAATGGAAAACCTTTGAAACCAAAAACCTATGTGACACATGGGGTTTTCTTGAAATGTGAGGTGGCGGGTGTTTTCTCATTTTTTTTGAGCAAACCGAACAGGCCCTCAATCAAATCCTCACCTCCGACGCCCTAAAAGATCCTCCAAGAACAGGAGGAGGAAAAAAAATGGGTAAGAAGAGGACTTTGATCGTCCTCTCGTCCTCAGACGAGGACGAAAAGGGTAGAAGACCTGGGTCGTCTTCAAGGCCGAGGTCGGTGGCATCGTCGAAGAGCTCCCGCAGAGGAGGGAGCTCCAGGAAGCTCAACGTCGGCCGATCTAGGGCTCGTTCTTGCAGTCAATTTGAAGAAGCGGTACTCCAACTCCCAAACTCTTGTTTGCTTTATTTTTCGCTCCATTGTAGATTGATAAACCCTAAAGGAAGAATTTTTATTCAATTCAGAAGTTGAAGTCATGTGGTGTTAGTGTCTGAGCTGAACTTTTAGTTAGGGATAGTGTGTCGAACCGTAAGGGGAAAGGTTGAGATGGTTTAAGTTTCGAGGACGGAGCTTAATGAAACATGATATTTGAATAGACAGTTTATGGATGAATAGGGGTACCCTATAAAGAGATTCGTATGCAATGCCTGTTGTGCGCAGCGGAAATTTCGGCAGCACCTCCGGTGCGCAAGGTGCACAATAAGAGATTAGATCACAATGAAATTATCGTTTCTCAAAGGAAACAAGAACCAAAAGCCAGATATCTTATCAAAGTGAGATATCAGCTCTTCCTCTCGTTAGCTCTAGGACTGCGCGTCGAGGGAACCTACAAGCTATTACAAATCACGACAAGAACACAAATTTTACGTGGTTCGGTAAATTGCCTACGTCCACGGGGCAAGGAGGGGGGAGATCTACTATTAGAGGGAGAGATACAACTAGGGTTTAGAATATCTTAAATCTAAACTCTCACACAAACTCTCAGATCCCTCACATAAAAGCTCTCTCAAAGAGATGCACAAATCAAAGAACAACTACAGCCGCATTCCTTGAGCCTCTGACTTCCGTGCCGCTCAAAATCAGCCGCAGCCGCCCCTTGCTTTTCACCTTTGCCAGCGCTGTCCTTTGCACCCAGCGCCTGCCTATTCCCCCTCTCAATCTTACACAAAACCCTAGGAAGTATTCGCAAGATATATATATGGTTGCAGGAGAACGAAATCTCGTTCAAATCTTGGTCACGTGTGTACCCCACATCAAAAGCAATTCGTGGACGATATCCATATCCACGAAATCACGTGACCATGAATAAAACTCAACACCAACATCATGAATAAAACTTCACATGGGTAGGTGGACCCCACATCCGTTTTTATCCAACAATTCTCCACCTCGGCGAAGTTTTTTCAAAACTGAGCCGATACCAAAGCAACCAAATATCCCACTTGTTGTGTACAGTACGTCATGACAACAGACTCATGACAACGGATTCCATCCACAATAAGTCGAGACCCAAACGGAAGTGCGAACACTCACCCAAAACAACAGTGTTTACTCACCAAATCGAACTGAGCCTACACCGACTACACCAAATGCCTCATTTGCTGAGACCCAAATGGGAGTGCGAACACTCACCCTAAATGTCGATGTCGCTCACCAAATCGGCTGCATCATAAAGACTGCCTATGTATCCTCTTGCCCAAGGAATCAAGCCTTCACGTAGTTCATCCAAATGACCGCTAACGACCTCAATCCAATAGAAGAGTTTGCAACCCTTCTCCAACATCACGATCAAGTCTGTTGAGAGTTCGTCAAATTTTTTGGAAGAACTTCAATCATCTCTTGAGAAAGCTGGGGCCCATAAGGTGACACCTCTTACATAGCAAATGCAGGCAAACTCAACTATCACACACTGGCATTGGTGTGAAATAGTGTCTAGTTTTATATGTTCATAGCAAATAAACTACATGAATAATTTCTTTCAGGTAGTTTTTAATCCGCTTACCGTAAATTCTATAAAGAAAACTCTTTTTAGAATATGCGAGGAAGAGAAGTGTGATGTGACTGGAAACTGGATAGATCATATAGCACGAACTAGTGGAGGTGACATCAGACATGCAATAACGTCTTTGCAATACTTCTGTTTAAGACCTACAGATGGTTTTTCCTTAGCAACATCGACTCTGCCAGCAATACAATCTAAGACAAGCGTATACAAGCATAATTCAGTATCATCTCCAAGTCTTGCAGGCACGGAGGACCTAGATGCCCCACCATTCTTGCCTTTTGGATTTGGACGAGATGAAACAATAAACCTGTTTCATGCCCTGGGGAAGTTTCTGCACAACAAGAGAGAAACTGATGATTCATGTGCACTTGGTATGTGAATTTACTATTTATTATTAATAAGTAAAAGTGCCATCTGATTAAAACTATGTTGCATGGGTACTTCTATTTGGAGCCGTACCCGTGTTCTATCCGTACCCAACACCGAAACTTCAGTGGATGGTCCTCACTCCTTAGATAATTGCATAAACTTTTTTAAATGTGCACTCAATTATAAAATACATGTTTTAAGTTATAACACTCGGCATATACTTCTTGGACATATATCTTACACTTCACGTGCAATTCCTGAAACCCATTGGACATAAGTTGGGTTCATGTCAGCCTGTACCCTGTTCAGAACTACGATTATATAGGGTTTTTTGGACATCAAGTAAAAAAACAAGTAATTTTCGAATTTATAGACCTACAGTTTAAAAGAAACATATAAATGTCTCAGGAATTTTAATTCATAGCACGTGAAATGAAAAAAAAAGTAATGATCTTATGTAAATTATTATTATATATGCATGTATGTGTAGCCATGTCCTCGTACTGCACCTTTTACAAATTTTCCATGTCCCGCACCCATACCTGTATTCATACCTGTGTAACTTAGGATGAGAATCTTCTAGTACTTAATCATTAAAACTATTAGTTGTCTGTAGCTAACATGTTGCCTGTGCATCCTCCGTAGATTTTCAGGATTTATAATTTCAATTGTATTTTGTTGATGTTTTAGTGTGTGTGTGTATATATATATATTCTGTGAACATTCTTTTTTAATCATAAATACTAAGGTTTTAAATATCGGATATCAGGAAAATATCGGATGGCCAAAATTCATATCGGATTGCGGATATCGGGGAAATATCGGGGATATGTGATAAATATCGGAATGCCATAATGAATGTTTGCATACATAGTATAATGCATTAAAATTAAAATATAATCTCAACATATGTAATAAAATTTAAGCATACAAAATATGAATAATATATGTTTAGGATCACTAATCAACCTTCTAAAAAAATAAAAGTTCAAAGCAGCGTTGCAACATTCGATCTGCTTTTTTTAGGGCAAAATGTCATTTGATATAATGGGAAAATCTTGATATATCGCCTAAAAATTCCAAACACAGTATATTATTTTTCAACAAGCTATATAAAAAGATATATTGGTCCACATATTAGCTAATATATCGGTCATATTGGGATTTATCACTCAAAATAGCCAAAAAGTGGTAAAGGATATTTAAAGACCATATCGGTTGCGGCAAGCCCTGTAAAAGGATATATCGGGGGATATATCAGGCCATGTCGGGGATATTTAAAACAATGATAAATACTGATAGCAATCTGATTACATGCTGCAGAACAGCATTCACTTGTTCTTCAGGAGAAATTATCAAGAAGCCCTCTTAAGATGGATGCTCCGGAGGTAGTTCTTTCTCAGGCTCATGGGCAAGCAAGGAAGGTTGCTGATTTTCTACATGAAAATGGTGCGACATTCAACCATTCTCTTTATTCCAGATATTTGAGACCTTTTGAGTTCTATATATTTTCATGGCATTAGGATGTTCCCTATATTAGGAAAGTTACAGACCGGAGTAATTTGGGTTGGTAATTTTATAATGCTCCTACATGCTTGTTTTATTTTGCTGTTTGCTGCTAAATTTTGTTCCAGTAAATACAAATACTCAGTAAATGTTTTCTTTGTTAGCATCTCAAAGGTCATACAGATTGATAAATCTGATACAGAAAATTCTGCTAAGAATTTCTCATTTTTTTGGTTGGTGATACAAAAATAAGACCAGGTTTACTTTTGATTGTCAGATGTGCAAACCATGGCTCTCTGATTTTGCAGTAAAAGCGTCTCTCTGATTTATTTGTAATGCAAAAAAACATTAAACGCGTAAAATGATATTGGATTTTCGTTTTAATTATTGACTTATTTGCATCACTTTGGTTGCTCATGAAATTGATGACAGTGAATTTGCTCATGCCACATGATCTTAAGTATGTTTATTGATGTAACAGGAGTCCTTTTTAAACTTCTGCAGTTCTTGATTTTATAAGCGGTGAAGCTATTGATGATGCGTGGCTTGTGACTTCTTATCTATGTGATGCTGATTTACTACTTGATAATGCTTCACATCCAACAAGGTTCCACATGATGTCCGAGATTTATGAATCAGAAAATCTAGCACAAGTAGTAGCTGCATCAGTTGCAACACGTGGGGTGTTATTCGGAAATTCACACCCTTCACCTTCAAGGCATCAATATTTATGTAACTATATGTTTGTGCAGCAGCATTTGCCTCTCCTAACATAATTCTTGACTGATGTTGCAGGTGGCACACTATTCGTAGTCCGAGGCTTTGGCAAATTGAGCAGTTATCATGGCATAATAAGGTGGACCTTTATTATATGAAGTATTTTTCTATTGACTTAGAATATTTATCTATTTTAAACCAAACTCTTGCATATTACAATTGGTTGCCATTTTAGAGTTCATACAGGACATGATAAAGACAGATTTTTATATCACTTCATCATGCTGAGTTTTCTTTGAATATAATTGCTTCTATTAATGCTTTCAACATATTAGCGCACAATAAGGAATTAACAGTTGAAAAGAACTGTGTGAATCTATTATTTTATCTATAGTATGTCTATCTGTATGCACCTTCTTTCACATTTTAAATATCAAAGCGAGACAGTTTTAGGAGTGAGATGAAGTAGTTGGAAGGAACAGAGATGGTAACTAGGAGAAGAGGTTCTAAATTCCTATTCCGATTTGAAATTCAAGGGGAAAGCTAGAAAGATGCGAGGAAGATGGTTGCATTTTCCTACAAAGAGATAAGGTGATAGATTTGAGGGAAAAAAAAACTTATTGCAACAAATTAATTTTATAATAGACCTCTCGAAGGGAACTAAGTACAATAATTGTTCGATATGATATGACTTCTTCTCCTACTTCTCTGAGATAAGTGAGATACTTCTATGTCTCATCGCACATACAAGGGCATGATGATTGGTAATACAAATTGTATAGCAGATGTCAGATACGCAAGGTTACATGTCAACAGATGTCGAGCAGATGACTTAGTCCAATTACGACTTGATAGTTTGTGGAAGAAAAATGAACTAACGTGCTCACTTTTTGGTGTGGATCATCAAAACTTCACTCATTTCTTCCTTTCTCAATGTAGATCCATTTATTTTATCTTTCTTTTTGGATGAAACGACAACCAGAAAGTGCAGTCTTACCTATTAACTTGGTGACACTTTTAAGATTTGTAGTTTTGAGTTTTGCACTTCCTTGAATCTTAACTCACGCTAGATTTGTTCCTTGAGTTGGATCCTGAATTTGTGTTTGATTTGTTGAATTGCAGTGGAATTAATTTCACATACACCCCTGTAGTGTTGCTGCTTTGAACTCACTAACCCTATAGTTTCATTTTGGCTGATAGAACCCCCTGGGTGAATTTTATTTAACTCTTTTACCTCAGATGACTAATTTCACCGAGGAACAATATCTGCCAAAATTCATCCAAGGTAAAAGAGTCAAATAAATTTAACCCAGGCCTATCTGCCAAACTACAGGGATAGGTAAGGTCAAAGCAGCGATACTAGAGGGGGTCTTCATGCAATTAACTCCTTATTAACCTTTATTTAATGCTGAACTGATGTTTCTTTCTTGTCACCCTCTTATTTTGTTTGAACTCTTCCTTGGTTTCTTCTTATAGCTGTGGAAAGAGTACCGGAAATCATTCTGTAGTTATAAACGTGAGCCGAAAAATCTTATGTCTAGTATGAAGTTTTTCGCTCAGGAAGTCAGGGTTTTTCTTAAGTCATAAAATTTGCACTCACAAATGATAATTATTCTGCGATATAAATTAGAAATGCAAGATGCATCTTCTGAGTTGATGGTGTAATGCAGTAATTAACCGTTTATGCCTTTCCAACCTCAAAATTTTCTCATCCTATTGTTTGTAGTCACAAATGGTGATCATTATGCCTTTAATAAAAGTAAAACTGCGTGATGCATCTTCTGAGTTGATGGTATAATGCAGTGATTAACATTTATTACTTTGCAATCTCTAATTTTTCTCTTCATGGTGTTGGATTTGCAGAATCAGATGGCATCTGAGAGATTTATGGACTCAAATCCCTGCAATTTATACCATTCATCTCACGTCACCATGGAATATGGATCCACAATGAAATGGCTGAGATCAAAAAATTTTGAAGTCCCCCACACCTGCCAGAAAGATATCTCACGGAATGACAATGGGGTGTTTGATTTTGACTGGATGGATCAAGAAAAGGATGAAACTTCGGAAGAAATTGAAGAGGAAGAAATTGAAGACTGGTAGGCTTGATTCAGTTTGCAAATTGGTCTGATTAAAGAATATTAAAGCTACGACTGAGGCTTACCTTTTGACATCCTGCATCTAAGGCCTGGCTATATTCTTGGCTTGGTTGTGGTGCTACTCCAAGAAGACACTGCTTCTATATATTGTAAGTAGATTTGTATATCATTAAGGTTAGTTTCTTTGACGAACCTTTCTAAATCCGCGAATGGTGAACTTTTCAAACTTATAACCCAGAGCCTGATGTTTTCCTGAAATCCTGTATATATTGGTCGGAATGAAGAAAATTAGGAGGAAAAGGGGGAATGGGGAAAAAAGGCAGATAGTATGCTTCTTATTTTGATATATTTACGCTGTATAGGCATTGAAATCATTTTCGTTGATTTCTCTTCACAATGAGCAGCACGTTTACAACGTTCATTATAGTAGTAGTAAATGTTCTTCAGATTCTTCTGACTTCTTTCACTTTTTGTCACATGAGAGATTTGAGGTCTTGGATACCATTTAATCCTTTTATCCTGCTGCATATATGCTTTTCTGTTTCAACTCTCCCATTCCTCTCTTATATAATCAAGTTTTCGGAAGAATTTCTTTTATACAAACGATTGAAGATTGTATTTTCCAAGTACAGTACATCAGATAGCTTCTATTTATATTAGCATTGACTCTCCTTCTCTTCATTTTATTCAACTTAATTTTGAGTTGGTTCCACTGCCTGAGTACCGTTTTCCTTGAATTAAAACTGCTTGGAAATCAAAGTTTGCTTCTCCTGAGCATTGAATGCTTCTTGATATTTGCACACAGTGGATCTTCATGGTTGGTTTACAGAAAGAACTCTACACGTTTTTTTTTTCTTTTTTTCTTTTTGTGATTTTAGTTCTAATTTCTATTCTTGCTTTATACATCAATAGCTTGTTATCTTAGGGGCTATTTGGTTATTTCCTAAAAAACCAAAAAATAGAAATGCAAACAAAGAAAATTCAAAAAAGTACATTCACACATGTCATCCCTAAAACTCACCCACACATCTAATAAATATTATTTACTCAAAACTTACGCATCACATCTAAAAAATATTATTTTCATCGCATAACTCATCCATCACATCCACACACATCTAATAAAATATGTTTTCATCCCACAATGTATCCTTAACTCTTCTCATCTCATATTTAAAAATACCTCAGCATTACCAATAAGTTGTGACAACTATCTCATCTATTAGACATTTTATTTCTTGTTTTCCTCCAAAAGCTAGGAAAACATTCCTAATGTGTGTCACATCATCCAATAATATACATGACAACTCATCTTCATCTCAGCTCATATATTTTCTTATTTTAGAATAATCAAGCGAAAGAAAACCAACCATTATAAGATAATAATTTCTATAATTTATTTACATTATTTTATCCGTCAACCAAACAACATCAAAACAAGTTTTCTTAAAATCACTCACATCATCCTATAATAAAGGTGACAACTCATTCTTCACTTCTTTGATTTCCTTCTTTTTAGCGAACAAACACTCGCCAAAATAATTCTTGGAGCCGTTGTGATACCATAGCCGTTTTTACCGTTTTCCTTTTTTTTTTCAAAAAAAAAAAAAACAATGAAATCGTTTGGCACGCGGGTATTTTTTTGACTTGACCCTTTACAAATCCAAAACATTAAACACTTTTCTCAAAAACACCATAATCATGTGTTTTGCAGATTTCCGTTTTTCATCTAACGTGTCGTCTGCTCGGCTTTGGCTCGGCCCGCCGGCCGCCGCAATCCTGCCGCCCGCCCGTCGCTGCCCGCCGCTCGTCTGCCGCGCAGCGCACCGATGCCGCCGCAGGGAGCGCGGGGCCGCCTCCCGCTGCACTACTCGCCTCCCGCGCGCCGTCGATTCAGTACCGCCGCGGCTCGCCGTTCCACGTCGCCACCACATCGCCGCCGCGGGTAGCCGGCACCCGCCGCCGCGCCGTTGCGCGCCGGCTCGGCTCGCCACGCCAGCCCGTCGCCGCCTGCCCGCCTCCTGGTCGGCGACAGTCGCCGCCGGCCAGCCCGCCCGCCCGTGCCGTACTCTCGTCCGGTCGCCGCGCCAGCGCCCCCGCCGTCTGGCCGCTAGCCGCTGCCGCGACCGCCCACCGGCCGTCGCGCCACGCCCGCAGATCGCCTAACCGGCCGTCGCCGTCAGCCATCCGCCGCCCACGCGACCGCCACCGACCGACTCGTCCGTCGGCCGCCCGCATCGGCCTACCGGCCGTCGCCCATCAGCCAGCCGCCGCCGCGACCGCCCACCGGCCGTCGGCCCGTCAGCCAGCCGCCGCCCGCGACCGCCCCACCCGCGCTGTCGTCGGTCGCTCGTTAGCCGACCGCCGCCGCAGCTCGCCGCCTGGGCCACCGCGCCGCCCGACCGCCACGACCGCCACTGCCCTCCGGCCCGCCACCCCCCCGCTCGCCACCTGTCGGCTGTGCCGCCGACACCCGTTCGTCACCGCTGCTATATAAAAGTAACTAACCAATGGTGTTTTCAAAACACTTTGAAAAGAAACACCTGCATGGTTGTTTTTGTAAAAAAACACTGACAAAAAATCGCCTTGATATCCAAACACACCTGATTTAATAGTTTTCCATTTCTTTGATTTTCAATTTTTTTAGGCAAACAAACAGGCCCTTAGAGTAATACATGAGATCTTGCGGATTCTGCTATGATGGCTCTCTCTCTTATACTTTGAACTAAAGTTCCAAATACATCAATACATCCCAGACATAATATAATAATCAAAACCGGAAAAATGTCAATTTTTTTTTCACTCTTATTCATTCCAAAATTTTAGAATATGAAACGATAATCCAATTATTTATGCCTGACAGCAGAGAACCGTCCTCATTATTTCCACTAAATCTCATAGGTAAAATACTAAGCTGGAGGCTACAATCAAATAAATATTTCGAATTCCCTTCTAAAATTATATATCTCCAATATTTTTCAGCAAGTTGGTCGACGAGAACCTGATTTGCTTTCTCTGTGGGGTGGAAACTATTGTGCGCAGCGGAAATTTCGACAGAGTTTCTGGTGCACAATAAGAGAGAATGATCTAATAAGAATTCCCGTCTCACCAAGGAAACAAGAATTTGAAGCGAATATCTCAACAAAGTGAGATATCAGCTCTTCCTCTCATCAGTTCTAGGACTGACTTGTCGAGGGATCATAAAAAACTATTACAATGACCACAAACACAAACAAATTAATTTTACGTGGTTCGGCAAACTGCCTACGTCCACGGGGCAAGGAAGGGGGGATCTACTATTAGAGAAAAATAATACAAATGGGTTTATAACTCTTACAAATTAAAACCCTCAAATAGGCTCATTGCTTTTCTTTTCAAGAAAATGTCAGCCTTCAAATAATTTTTCTCTCTTCACGAAGCCCTCTGCAGCCGCCGCTAATTTTTCACACGAAACCGCAACCCCTTGATTGACCCTCTGTCCGTGCTCACAAAATCAATCGCTGCTTCTTTTTCTCCCCTCTGGCTTCACACGCGCTCCCTTGCACTGCGTCCAAATCACCCGCCTGCAATTTTTGCCCCCTCACTTCGTTCAAACCTTCACGAAACCCTAGAAGGGTTTTTATAAGGCTCTGATGCAACTTCATGGGCCATCAAGCATGCGGAAACGAAACGCGGAAACGAAACCGCGTTGC